AAGAGAGCTCAAAGATCATCCAGTCCAGCCCGACTGTGGTTATTAAACCGTGGCTCTAAGTGCCACATCCAATCTCGGCTTGAAAAACTCCAGAAATAGTGAACCCAGCCCGGTTTGCCCTGAGGGGGCTGAGCTCAGGGCTGGTGTTTTTTGCTCGTGGGGCGGTTTAGAATCAGCGAAATTGAGACATTCGCTGCAGTTTGTGCCCCGCAATCCGGACACACAGTGTCAATGGGGTGGGTTAAAATCCCCCCAGCAGCTGAGGCAGTGCTGGCCCGGCAGGAACTCGTGCAGGATTTACAGCTCGACACAGGCCAGTTTGTTCAGCAGAGCTCCGAACAATAGCCCAGCGCTGCAGAAGCTGCACTGGGGCTCTGCGGAGGGCAGAGCCTGCCACATGCACTCATGGGAAGCACGTTTTCTTAGCTGCTACACGCTGCTTTAGCTCCCCTTAAATTTAAAAAAAATACAAAAAAATTCCGTGCCGTTTTTCTCTGCTTGAGGAGATGTATTTTTTTTCTTTTAAAAAAAGCGTAGTATTTGTTCTGACTTGCCTAGTTTTTTTTGAGAGTGTTTGTACTCATCCTGGAGCAGTTTGCAGGGCTGTGTGTGTGGGCATCCTTTCATTTTTCTAAGCAACAGATGAACCCACTGCGAATTGCTCACGTTTGGCACATCACCCAAGTGCTATTTCTGAGAGAGAGCTGCGTGCCAAGTTCTGGTTATTCAGTTGGGGATTCAGTTGGTGAAAGGAGAAATGAAAATGAGTGAGGAGTTATGTATGAGAGCCGTGGTGTGTTTTGTTCCTTGGATTTTTTTTTTTTACAAAATAAGTGTAATGAATGTCAAACCACCAACAATAGCAAGAGCAAGTAAGCAAACACTATAGGTTTTTTGAGCTGATGTGAAATCTTTCACTTTGTTCTGTACTTTACAACTAAAACACATCCATATCTCCATGTAGATTTTCTGTTGTAACTCTCCTGTGGCTAACATGGAAATAATGTGCATATATGTCCTGCCCAGGCACACATTGCTCACAGGACCTTGTTTTCCAGTGCCAAATATTTGAGAGGGGACAAGAAACTAAAGCAAACAGTACAAGTCAGCCCTTTTCAGGGTGTGGGGAAGCTCTTGTGTGACTCTTAAGTGGTTGTGTCCTGTACTAGTGTTTCTTAATTTTTTCCATGAACAAAGGCTTTGCATTTGTTTCTGATTTCTTCACTAGAAGTGACATGCGTGGAAATATTTAGGCAGCCACAGATATTGGAGCATAATGTTGAGTAACACTTCTTAGGTTTTAAATTTATTTTTCCTGTTGTGGTTTAGATAATATATAGTTACCATTTAGGCTTAAAAATATTTTCACTTACATTTTCACAACCAAAGCACAGCCCCATAAAAATAGGGAGCCTGAAGTACTTACAGTCAATCAGAGGAAGTAATTATCACTTCTTAATTCAGTGTCAGGTGAAATTTCTTGTGTGGGAAAATTTCTTTTTTGGTTAGGAAAATGTTAAACAGAGTGAAATAGTGTTTGTAGGACTATGCTGCCTTAATTACTTACAGGATGTTATCAAAGGAAAACTGATGTGTTTCAGTGAATAAGCCTCTTCCCACCCAATCTCTCCCCCCCAAATGGTGCACACACCTACGTGTCAAACCTGTCACACGAGAACAGTATTGTTCTGTTAACACAGTTAAGTTCGTTGAGAATTATTGGGTCTGTTCCAATCCCCTTGGGTGGTTTTGCCTAATTTTCTTCTTTTAGTCTGAGCCTGGAAACTTAATTATTGGAGGGATAACCAAGTGTTCAGATAAGGATTTAAAGTCCTGTATCACCTTAACATACAGACAAATTACCTGCAGCATAGCGGGGTTTAGTACTGTTCTGCTGACATATGAACAGGGAGACAAGCGTGCATACAAGTCTGCTAAACTCTGAGCTTTAAGGTTCAACAAAGCTTTATTGGAATTGTTTGTATTATGTCAGTGTCTCCATAAAGGGAATTAAAAAGTCTAGTTCTGTAAAGCTGCATCAAAAGTCTATCTGTAAGCTGTTTGTAGGGTGAAGTACAGGAGTTAAGATGTGCTCCAGAAAGCAAAATAATTTGTTTATTCTGAGTAACAGTTCAGTTCCTCTTTACAAATTCTTGTACTGATTTGGCAGGGTTTTTCCCAACTGGTGGGACGTTGGAACTTGGTTCCCCGTGTCCAGTTAAACTGGGCAGGCAGTGGTGGTTCTGTGCTCCTGTTGGTTTCAGTGGAGTTGGCAGACTTGTAGTGACCTGTCTTAGAGAGCTGCACGTGAGAAATTACCTCCTGCTTTTTTCCCCCACTCTCATGCTTCAACATGACTCGACTTTAATGTGTGTTACGCTAATCTCTTCCAGATCTCTGTTTAAACTTGCTTTGATATGTGTTTTCAGTCTCAAACCTATTCAAAGCAACATGCTGTATCCCTTACTGCTTTAAAAGATCTCACAAGATATTGGTGTTAAGGTAATGAGGTTTGTAATTTACCACCATCACTTTTTTTTTCTTTCAGTTGCTCTAAGACTTTTGTCTTTTTTTTTCATATTAAATGTGGCGTTTCCAGATTTTCTCATCTTGTTTTCCATTGTCCTTCTGGGGGAGCATAAAGCATAGCTGGTTAGGAGAAGCACTATAGCCCCTGAAACTCTTGGGCCTGCAGTCAGGCTCTGCCTGGTTATTTGCATTTTGAATTAACTATGTCCTCCTGTAACCACCAGGCCTTGTCTGCAGCGCTGTAGCAGTGTGGTACAAATGCATCTGTTTTGCTTCAGGCTCTATTGTGCCTCCTATTTAAAGCTGCTCCTGCTCTCTAAAAGGAGCTGCTTTCAAATGCTTCTGAAAGTGAATGTATTCAGAGTGTACTCATGGTTTTAACTCATCGTTTATTTTCTTTTTACAGTAAATACAGGAAGCAAAACTGGAAATGTCTGGCTGATTTGACTGGTGATACGTGAGAGCTCTGAAGGAAAAAAAAAAGTATTTCTATTTTAATTCAGCCTTGCTTTAGTGCTCTCTGCTTTCCCCCACCCCCTTCCTGCCAGTCTGGGGAGAAGCAGTGCAAAGCGATCACAACAGCTGTACATTTCAAGCTTGATTTTCAGCAACTGCACAAAGCAAAGGCTTGGTGGGTGATTCACAGCAGAACCTGCTTGTAGTACATGGAGATACACTTGTAGCATAGTACAGGCCACAGTTTGCAGTACAGACTGAAGAGTTTCCTCTGAGGACAAAATGCGACTTACTGGGTGTGTTTTTTTCTTCATCAGACAGGAATAACTGCATAATTTGAAACGGTCTGAAATATTTGTCCTTTGTTTTCGCAGGTTCCTGTGGCATGTAAATCTTGTCCCTGTGGCTACATATTTATTAGTCGAAAACTCTTGCACGCTAAACGTGCTGAGAGATCTCCACCCATCACAGGTAATACAGAGAGGGCAAGGAAGGGGCAGCAGTATCTCCCCTTATTTCTTGGAGGCAAAGGATAAAGTGTTTTATTTCTCTGTGTAAAGTAACTGTTGTCAGTTCACTTTCCCTTGAATTTGTGCATGGCATTGAATATGTTAATTTTGCTTGAATTTCGAGGAGAAGGGGGGGAAAATGTTGTTTTCAGTCTTATTTCCTTTGTCCTTGTGATGTTGGCATTTATTGTGTGTGTGTTCTACATAGCATATTAGTCACAATGCAAAGTAGCTCCTTTCAGAAAGCTTTGTGTTAATCCTGTTTTGAAGCTAAATGTCTGGAGGTGCCAAAAGGCTCTGATTGCAGAGTATCTGCTGATTGAAGCTGGGTTTGCTGAAAATAAAAAAATTGGTCATAATATTTAATGTAAAAACAGGTGGGTCTTGCTTCTCTCTCCATGGGTTAGATTAAAAAAGAATGCTTTTTTTTCTGTCCAACTTGTATGTCTTTTGTTGATGGACGCAGTAAGAAGTCACTTGAATGGACATTCTGGCACGAATAACATTCTTCTTCTGTTCATCTTTATCACTTCCAACAGTCCTAGTGGGAATTAGTCAGAACAAGAACCTGTCAGGGAAGGTGTATATTAAAAACAAACCACAACAGACCAAATCCCCAGAACATCAACACATCTGATCTATAATGTCTGCTTTTTTAAATTATCTACCAAACCTACAAAGTGGAAATTAAGCATTTGATGTTTTGTATCACTGCTTTGAAGCATACTCGTAATTTACCAGCTTGTAAGAATTAGCTGACATGGTGCTGCTAAATGAGCTTTCCCAATTTTGGGCTCCCCAGTACAAGAGAGACATGGACATAATGGAGAGTCCAGTGAAGGGCCACAAAGACGATGAAGGAGCTAGAGCATCTTTCCTCTCGGGAAAGTCTGAGCTGGAACTGTTCAGCCTGGAGAAGATAAGGCTCAGGGGAATTTAATCAGTTCTGTATAAATACCTGAAGGTAGGGTGTAAGTTAGATGGAGCCAGCAGTGCCCAGTGACAGGACCAGAGGCAGTGGGCACGAACTGAAGCACAGGAGGTTCCCTCTAAACATCAGAAAATGCTTTTTACTGGGAGGGTGACCAAGCACTGGCACAGGTTGCCCTAAGAGGTTGTGGAGTCTTCATCCTTGGAGATATTCAAAAGCCTTCTGGACATGGTCCTGGGCAGCTGGCTCTTGGTGGCTCTGCTTGAGCAGAGGGGTTGGACAGGTTTGTCTCCAGAGGTCCCTTGCTACCTGGACCGGTCTGTGATACTGTGAAATACAGGTTTTGCATTCATATTGGAGGCATTAATATTAGAGGATTCTGCTGTCCAGTTTGTACCCTGTGTCTGTACAAAGTTAATGGGACAACTGCAGCAAAAGGAAGTCAGTTCCCTAGGAAGGTACAGTAGGAGGCTGTATATGTCAATATTGTGCTCATAAGGTAACTGCTATTTCTTTTAGAAAGTGTTGTTTCAGTGTTTTCAACAAGAGCTGCTGCAGAATGGTGCTGCAGCTAACCCGTGTGGAATACTGTGCTGTGGTGACTATTTCCAGTTCCCCAGCTCATTGATTAGTACTTAACTTCCAGTTGAAACTCATTTTTTTACTCTGATGGGTAGGAAAGCAATACACCTGTCCAGCATTCAGTATGATGGGGCTGGATTTGGTGTGTGCTTTGTTGTGTGGCATTTACTGACAGCATTGCTGACTCAGCATTTGATTTGTCTGAGCAGCAGGAGTGATTTCATTGTTAGTGTCAGAAGAATCCTGGAATCATCAAGGCTGGAAGAAACCTTTAAGATCATCAGGTCCTTGACAGCTGTGATATGTACAGTTTTTGCTTCCAACTTATTTGGGAAACTGAGTTTTTTTGTGTACTAGCGAATGTCTCACATTGCAAAATGCTTTTGAAGTAATTAAAAGCTTGATCTTTGTAATCAGGAAGTGAAAGGTCATTATGGATCTGAGCCTGTAATTTCTGCATGGATCTCGAGTAGATGCAATTGTTGTATAAAGGTATAGACCTGTAACCACTTCAAAGAAAAGAGGTGATTGGGTGGGGTAAACACTAAGAGTAAATTAAGAACCAGGATGAAAACAGCCCTAAATGATATAATTTCTCTTCATTTGCACAGAAAACAAGAGCGAGGCCAAAAGGAGACGAACAGAGAGAGTTAAGCGAGAGAAGATAAATTCTGCAGTAAATAAAGACCTAGAGAACAGAAAGAGATCCAGGTCTAACAGCCACTCAGATCATAGCAGACGAGGAAGAGGAAGACCTAAGAGTGCCTCAGCCAAAAAGCACGAGGAAGAAAGAGGTATGAGAACTGCAGAAATAAGTTTGTTGCCTTTTCTGTTTGTATGAGGACTTGTTTTTTAATCCATTTTATACCGTTAAACCCGTTTAACTAGACAAGTTCATCCAATACCTGATACCTTAATGTGGGTAAGGGACTGTTTCACATCTGGTTTTATGTTTCAGTGTCTGAGGAAACTGACTGCAAAGATCTAAATCTGTATTTTTAGCCACTGTATCAAGTTTCAACATGCAGGTTGAGAGCCATTGGACTGAAGTGTTGTTAGGGTTTTTGTTTCACTTTTTTGTCGAGGTGCTGCTGCTCTGTATCACAAGGAAAAACAGTGTCATGATGTCTCTTGTCAGAGGGGGATTAGAGTGACTAGATTGTTTAGAAAGTTTCTTGAAACCTTTTGGAGGGCCAAAGCAAAAAGGGCATCTTGAGTCACTACTGTGCCCTGAATTTTACCCCCATGTTTCTAAAATAAGGCTCTAGAAGCAAGAATGTGTCTTGTTTATTAAGGTTCAGTGGTGACTTGCTAGTTTTAATCTTTGTACCGTATAAAGACTGTTAAATGACTAGAATAATTCTGGAGCCCTTCAAGTATGTCACCATCACTTAGGATTCCTTAAGAGTCTGTTGACACTGCATTTGCGGTCTGTGGTTTCAGAGATGGTAATTTTAGGCCTGAATTATGAATCCAAAACTTAGCATGGACTTAAAAAAGGTTGGAAGGCAGGTAAGGGGGGGAATAACAAGACTCCATACAAATAGTCAGAAGATCTTGTTCTAAACTCCTGAAGAATTCAAGCATATCTTCTGGCATAACTCAGAAATACAATTATATTTTCACTTCCACCTTATTTATTAACAAAAAAAAGGGTGTTAATCCATGCTGCAATGTGAAGTCCTTTAATTTCTAACTTTTCAAAACCAGTTTTAATGTCTCTGCTGTTTGGTGTAAGTCTGTCATGTCTTAAGGTTTCACATAAAAGCCAAGTATAAATTGAGATTTGTTGGGTTTTTAGTGCTCTGGATGTGGAAAGAGGAGGCAGAATTTGATTTCTGTGTATTTCCTGGATGGCAATTTACTGTACTAGTAATACACTTGTAATATCTAATCACTGTTGCATGTGGCTTATTGATGTTATGTAGCTTCCCTGTTTGTTACTGACCCAAGCTGGACTTTGTCCAGCAGCTTTAGGATCCTTTCTAGGCATTTACCTGCCAATCTAGTTCACAAACAGCTTTGCTTTTAAAATTCCAGGAAGCTGGTTGGGTTGCCCTATAAAAGTAAATCTTGTTTCCTGTCCCCTGAAGAAGAAGAAAGCAATCAAAGGAAAAGATCCATTCTCATAAGGCATGTTTTGTAGTTTCCAGAACAGCAAGAATTTGACAGCATGAGGGATATTTAGAGAACATATTTTCCTATGCAGAACTAGGTTGAATGTTTCTAACCTCTTGTTGCATACTCCAAAGTGTGACAATATGCCAGTGCTTTGAAGTGGAAAACTAGAGATGCTGATGCAGTGAGGTCTTTGCATCAGAGTGTGTGTGGTGTGCCTTTTTCTTGGTGTTTTTTTTTTTTAAGCTGAATCTCAGTAAGATTGCCTTAATCTTTTTGTCCTGTTCTTATCATCCCCTTTACTTGATATTGTGACTGCTGCTACTATTTCTTCCTCAGCCTCTTCTGCAGAGCTGGTACAGGGCTTGAGTTCACACCCATTTGTCATTCTCTGTGCTCCTCACTGGTACAGCACATCTTATTGTTCAGGAGTAAGTAGGCTTAGAATATTTTCTGACTTGTTTCTGGTTATGTCAGACTGCAATGTGTGTAGACTACTGTGGTGATTATTGGGCAGACTGACTGTGTATATTAAGCAACTCTGATTCTACTACAGTTAAGGTGTTACTGTGTGACTGATTGCTAGTCCTTGCACCAGTCTGTAGGGCTGAAAGTCAGCTCTGGAGTGCAAGATGCTAGCTTAGTGTTAGACTTAGGTATCTAATTTCTTTGCCTGTTGGATGTTTCTAGGATATTTTGGTTACATACTACTTGCCACTGTAGATTATGCTGTCCTGTCACCCCTTGAAAAGGACTTGAAAAGAGGCCACTGCTTGCATAGGTGTTAAATATTTGGTGCCTCTTAGGCTTCTGCGATGCCTGATGCATTTGTAGGTGGAAAAGCAGGAGGACAGAAAACACCTCAGTTATAACAGCCTGGAAGAGCAGATCTGTCCATTTGAAGACCACCCAGCTGTGAAAAGTTTCTTCCTAAGGACTCCCATGACATCTTCCTTGCTTGTTCTCCTTCCATCCATAGCATCCCTGTTCCCAGTTATGTCTGTGCCTTTGACTAGTTCTTTTGTGTCCTCCGTGACTGGCTCACTTTAGGGCTAAGAGCTGCAGGATTCAGCAGCAATTAAGAATAGAAGAAGCAAAAAGGCTTTTAAAAAAACAAGCTATT